CTGGAGCATCCCAGCCTTTCCTGGAGTCCTGCTGGAGCATCCCAGGGTGTCCCTGGAGTATCCAGGACTTTCCTGGAGTCCTGCTGGAGCATCCCAGGGTGTCCTTGGAGTATTTATTCCAGGACTTCCCTGGAGTACTGCTGGAGCATTCCAGGGTGTCCCTGGAGTATCCCGGCCTTTCCTGGAGTCCTGCTGGAGCATCCCAGGGTGCCCTTGGAGTATCCCAGGACTTCCCTGGAGTCCTGCTGGAGCATCCCAGGGTGCCCCCACCCCCGTGGGTGCCCCTGCCCCTGAGCCCCTCCCTCTCTGCCCCCCAGATCTCCGGTACAACGTGTCCCTGGAGGAGCGGATCCCGGGATCCCGCGCCGCCTTCGACTCGGGCTCCCGTCGGCTGCTCCAGCGCCGGATCGAGCTTCCCCTGGGAAGGCAGAGCTGCATCCGTGTCCCCTTCCACGTCCTGGTCAGCCCTGGAACCCCTCTCTGCCCCACGGGGGGTGGCGTGGGGGGGTCTTCCCACCCTCCATTCCCGGGGGCTGACGGGATCCCCCGATCCCACAGGACACCTCGGATTACCTGCGACCCCTCGGCCTCACCCTCAGCTGGGCCCTGGACGAGTCCACGGGGCCGGTGCTGGATGAGGCGTCTCCCACCTCCCTCCGCAAGCTGGTGGGTACTGGGAAGGGTGTGACCGGATCCTGGGATCCCTCCTGGACATCAGGATTCCCCCCTGGACACCGGGATCACGCCCAGGCTCCTCGCAGATCCCGTTTTTCAAGGACTGTGGGGAGGACGACGAGTGCGTCACCGACCTGGTGCTCCGGGCCAGCGCGGACATCGCCGGCTCCAGGTACCCCCCGTGTCTTTCCCGGTGTCCCCACGGTGTCCCCGGGATCCCCCGTGACCCCTGGGATGGCAGGCAGAGCCCCCACATCCTACGGAAGGGCCGGAGGCGGATGCTGGTGCGGGTGGAGCTGGAAAACCGGGAGGAGAACGCCTACAACGCCAGCCTGTGGCTGCGGCTCTCCGGGAATCTCCACTTCTCCAGCCTCGTGCTCCAGGTACGGCCCTGGGGGGGCTCCCAAATCCCTGAGGAACCCCCCCCTCGGCATCCCTGGTCCCCTTGTCCCCCCAACAGGACAAAGAGGGGGACTCGAGTCTTCCAGGGGAGCTCCGGGTTGTTCTTGTCCCAGCCCCTTCCAGGTGGGATGAGGGGAGGGGGGGCTGTTCCATGGGGTCCCCAAACCCCTTCCAGGTGGGACGTGGGGGTCTGTTGTGCCCCCAACCCCTTCCAGGTGGCATGAAGGGGGGTGAGGGTGTTCCATTGGGTCCTCAAACCCATTCCAGGTGGGATAGGGGGGGTGAGGCTGTTCCATGGGGTCCCCAAACCCCTTCCAGGTGGGACACGGGGGTCTATTGTGCCCCCAACCCCTTCCAGGTGGGATGAGTGGGGGAGTGTTCCATTGGGTCCCCAAACCCCTTCCAGGTGGGATGAGTGGGGGAGTGTTCCATTGGGTCCCCAGCCCCTTCCAGTTGGGATGAAGTGGGGTGAGGGTGTTTCATTGGGTCCTCAAACCCATTCCAGGTGGGACACAGGGGGTCTGTTGTGCCCCCAACCCCTTCCAGGTGGGATGAGGGGGGTGAGGCTGTTCCACTGGGTCCCCAAACCCATTCCAGGTGGGACACGGGGGGTCTGTTGTGCCCCCAACCCCTTCCAGGTGGGATGAGGGGGGTCAGCTGCATCCCCCCGCTCATCCCAAGTGGGACCTGGGGGGTCCCTTGTGTGTTCCCAACCCCCCCTCAGCAGGGGTAAACCCCCCCAGTAGCCCCCCCAGCTCCCCTCTGGGGGGGTCCATCACCCCCCTCCCTGTTTCCCGTACTCCCCCCAACTCCGTGTCCCCCCTTCCCAGCAGGATCCCGGCGCGGTGAAGTTGGAATGCTCGGGGCTGGGGGGGCACCGTTGGCGCTGCAGCGTCGGGTACCCCGTGTTCCGCTCCCATGCCAAGGTAGGACCCCCCGGGACACCCCCCTGAGACCCCTCCCGGGACCCCCAAACCCTCATCCCACCCCCCGGGACTCCCAAACCCCCATCTCACCCCCCTGAGACTCCCAAACCCTCAT